AGACATAGTCAGCAATACCATAGCATCAAGCATAGCTTAGAAAATGACAATTTGTGGTAGTTATTAATCTATCAATTTTAACTATGTGAGTTAAATTAAAACCGAGGACCAACCTAACATAAGTTTATAATGAATAAGCTCTTCAATATAACATCTTTCCCCTTCGGGTGGGGAGTTAAAAGGAGTTGGGGAGGGAGAGACAGGTAGAAAGAACAGGTAAGATTAGTGGTGAGCCCCGAAGACACAGAAAGATCACACAAACGCTAAGAAGTTGTTAAAGGCAAGAAAAAATGGCAGAATGAAAGAACAAAGATGTGAATAGAATCACCTAACAGCAAAAGGGAGGCTACATACCAAATTTACTTTCCTTTAAACCTAATGATAATCAAGAGAAGGAAAAAGAGAAGAAAAAAACAATAAGTGAGAAATCTGAATTCAGTGCAGAAAGGAACAAATGCGGAGATGAGGAGCAATGTGGGACAGCAAGAGAATGAGTGAGAGAGAGGGAAAAAAAAAGATAAAAGAAAGAAAAGTAAAACTTTGAAGAGTAGAAAGTAAAAATTAAGAATTGAAAATAGGAGAAAAAAAATTTTTTTTTCTTTTTTGCAAATAGCACTAGAAATTATGGGCCTCCTTCAGGGTATGTCTCTGCTGTCACAGTAGGCCACGTAGGAATCCCTGTGGATGTACGAGTCAGTGAGTCTCAGCAAGCCAGCAGCAGGCTAAGTACAGTGGACTGATGTGCCGTCATTGTAGAGGTTCTCTTTACTTTTCCGCTGAGCTTCAGTTTTCATCGAGGAGCCTGAGAAGCCCTCTTTCTGTTACTAACTTCTGCTCTATCTTGTGGCGCTCAGGACAAGGGTCTTTATAATCTCCTGTGCCTCTGTAGTGTGGGACCAGAAGGCCAGAGGCGCACGGGGGTGGGGTGGGGGTGGAGAGTTGGGGGATGGGGGAGTGGGTGTTGGGCCTTGAAAAGCGCCTGCGCGGCCAAGCGGACCTCACCGTGGCGTGGGTGGGGCCCCGGGACCGCCGCGTAGCTTCAAGCTCCGTGAGTTTATTTTTGATGATGGCGCTGTCCTATAACTGATTTATTTATTTGTTTGTTCATTTTAAGTACTCAGAACTGGGTCAGTAATAATCCTTGGTTTATGACACACTTTAATCTTTGGTTCATGTGCAACCTACTTGTTTATTTGCTTTTAATAATATAGTATATAAAAATAAAGTGTCTATATTAGGTGGAGTACTTGGGAGGAAAGTTAAAATGAAAGTTAGTTTCCATTCATGTAGGGTTCAAAAATGAACTCATAGTTGTATGTTGCTTAATGACTCTGGTTCGTGACAGAATGCCTACATCTGACAGCAGTCCTGCAAGAGCGTGAGGGAGCCAGAACATTCCTATTACCTGTGACGCCACAGTCATCGTAACACTGTAGTGCAATACGTGGCTTATGTGTTTTTGGGGTCCCGATGTAAACAAACCTGTACTGTCAGGGGTATAAAAGTGCAGCAGCTATAATTATGTACAATATATAACACTTACTAATGATAATAAATGACTGTTAGTGGTTTGTTTCTTAATTACTGAATTATTTTTGCAGTGTTGGGGATTGTACTGATGGGCACTACCACTGAGCTATATTCCCAGCCCTTTTGATCTTTAAAAATTTTGAGACAGAGTCTCACCAAATTGCCCAAGCTGTTTTCCAACCTGGAATCCTCCTGCCTCAGCCTTTGAAGTAGTGGGATTACAAGTGTATGTCATTGTGCCCAGCCTATACTATGCAGCACTGTTTTTGAGTATACTTCTTCTATACTTCTTTCTTTTATAAAAAAAAAATTGACTGTAAAGCAGTGTACTCTTTTGCATTGGCAGCAGCCTCATAAGTCCTGTGTTTGCTGTGTCTCTTCCATCAAGAGGCCACGTTGAGAAATTGATCGACACCATTTCACTTTTTGCAAATGCACTCTCTGATGTTTGCATTATGATGAAATCTCCTAATGATGCACTTCTCAAAACATGTTGTGGTGAAGAAAGTGTGAGTGTATTTAGATGTATTTTTGCAGTACAGTTATTTGTTTTTCTTTCTTGGATAGAAAGTTATCTTGTGGATAGGTGATTTTGCACCTCTTTTTATCATGTAGACTTGGGTGACAGTGGATTAGAAGCAAAGTAAGATAGAGGGGAAGAGGAAAAGGACTGGGAATATGACTTTTACATTCAGCATTGAAATGTAAAATCCCTAAAATTTGTTAGTTTTCTGCAGAAGTTGTAACGCTGTGTTTGTTTGTGATGCAGGTCTGAGAACCATTGGAGTGATCACCAAATTGGATCTTATGGATGAAGGGACAGACGCCAGGGATGTTCTAGAGAATAAGCTGCTGCCTCTTCGCAGGGGTAACATACTGTGCTCTATGCAGAATTTTCTTTGATAATATGGCAGAGAAACACCTGGGAAACCACTGGGAAGCTTGGTTTTAATGCATCCTCATTTATTAGGAATACATTTATTAGTGGTGCTTTTAATGGAATGGCACAATATTCCCAAATGGTGTGTTAAAAATGATCTAAAAGGAGAACTATTCTTAAAATAACAAGAATTAAAAAAAAAAAAACGAAAAGGAAGGGATTTAAAGGGAGGTTATAAATATTCATCACAAGCTACATAAGTACATACCATTCTGTTTTAAATGTAGTAATTACTTGCCTGCGATATGGCACAACTGGTCAGAGACATACTTTCATAAAATGCCTAAAGCTTTTCAAGGTGAGCAATATTATCTTCTAATGCCAAAAAGTTATCATTAGCCAAGTCAGCAGCCTTTTAAAAATACTGATGTCTCAGATTACATTTTATAAAATGATCTACTCTTTCTTCATACTTTAAAATTAATCTTGGGTTTTTCACTTGGTCTCTTCAAGAACTCGAAGTCTCCCTAGAAAAAGTGACCAAAGGCATGTGAAGCCCTTGTGTTTTGTTTCAGGTTACGTGGGGGTAGTGAACAGAAGCCAGAAGGATATAGATGGAAAGAAGGACATTAAGGCGGCCATGCTGGCAGAAAGGAAGTTTTTCCTTTCCCACCCTGCTTACAGACATATTGCTGACCGTATGGGCACCCCACACCTTCAGAAGGTCCTCAATCAGGTAAAAATGTTTCAGGCAACAAGAACAGTTATGAAACCTATTGACTACCGGAATTCATATTTCTTATTTTTAAATTTATATTTCCAAAATTTACATAAATTTAAATATATCTGCAGTGGAAATGATAGAAATTTAAAAAAATAAATACAAATACTTAGATCCACACTGTGATTACTCTTCTTAGTGGATGACTTCACCTCAGTATTTTTTAGGAGAGTGCTTAAAGCAGAGACATATACTTCTATGGGACCAGTGAACAGGATTATACATTTGAATACACACTCACTCACAACATGTAGTATCTTAAGAAGTTACATGTGTGTAACTCTGAAAATTGGACCTCTTGGCATCTGTTTTTCAAATATCAAACTGTAATGGTTAGGTTAAGCTTTCTGTTACAAATATTTTATGGTTTTAAGACTGATTTGTTTCTTAATCTAAACTGTTCAAAACAACAAATCCTGATAAAGTAACCATGGATTTCCACTGATCTAAAATAATTCATTGCCTGGGAGAAGCTCAGCTGGTCCCAGCACCCAGAAGGAAGCTCCCCGCCTCCATCCCAGGCTCCTAGGTCAGAGAAGGTGAGCCAGTCCCAGCACCTGGAAGGAAGCTCCCCCACCGCCATCCCAAGCTCCTAGGGCAGAGAAGGTGAGCTGCATGGGCGCCCGAAGCACGCCCCCCCCCCACAGTGGAAATGAATAAACACATAAACAAGCCTCAAAAACAGAATACCAGATCACCTACAGCAACCCCAAAGGGAAACGAGATGGAACAATCTGATACTCAACCACCTGGACTCTCTGAACTGGCAACAAAAGAGGATCTGGGAAAAATGAAATCAGAAATAATTA